ATTAAACAGTAGTGGGTAAAAAAAAAAAACATCTGTGATTTTCCTGGTTGGTTTTTAAAACTCCTCTATTATCCCTGCTGTGGCTAACAGTTAGCGCCGTTAGCCGCAGTGTTTGATTATAGTGTGTTTTGATGTAATGTTGTCTGTGGTTAAAGTCTGTGTTTACAGGAAACTAACGCTGCTCACCGTGAAGTTTCAAGGTTCTCTCTCTCTCTCTCTCTCTCTCTCTCGTTCGCTCTGTGTGTGTGTGTGTGTGTGTTGTACAGGTGCGTCTTGAATGGCCAACAGACCTGGCCGTCAACCCACTGGACAACTCTCTGTATATCCTGGACAACAACATCGTTCTACAGGTACAGAAAAGTCACATGGTCATGAATGGGATTTTTTTTTTTTTTTCTCCCGTCGTAATCTGATCAAACTTTTTTTTTTTTACCCAGGTCTCAGAGAGTCTTCAGGTCCGTATCGTGGCCGGGCGTCCCATCCACTGCCAGGTCCCAGGTATTGACCACCACCTGGTGAGTCGGGCAGCGGTGCGCGCCACGTTGGAGGCGGCCAAGGCCATCGCCCTGTCACACCTGGGAACGCTTTACATCGCCGAGACGGACGAGCGACGCATCAACCGCATCCAACAGGTCACGGTCACACACACACACACACACACACACACACACACCATCATACTAAACCACTACTAATAATAAACTACTAATAACTAAAGTCGAGTGCCCTCTAGTGGCTGTCAGTGTGAAAATAACAAACATGTGACGTTATATATTTTTTTATATAAGTCGCAAACCCAGCCAAAGGATGACAAAAAGTGAGACTTATAGTCAGGAAAATACAAAAAAAATTTAAATTGTTCTTAGGTGGTTAAAAATAAGGTAATATGTAACAGAAAAAAATATTTAAGAGGAATATTTCGACACAGTTTCGGGAGTGAATCCCCTATATTTAGATCTACGACCTGACTACGTTCTGAGGTTCCACACATTTCAACGTCGGTTCCTCACTGGCCACTGGGCCGCGCCTCCTTGGCTGTGATGGAGGAGAGTGTGGAGGCAGCAGACAGGATGAAGGAGTCTCCTCTGCCAAGTCCCCGTCCTCGTAGCACCCACTCTATTAAAGCAGATCAGCAGCCAGATGGTATTGTCCGCAGAGAGCCAAAGAAATGAAAGGCTGTGGTTTTTCATTACAAAACTTTTTTGGCTGATTTTTCTCTGCCTCTCAAAACATGGAAGCCAATAAATAATCTGGGAAGCTCGTCCGAGGCGGTGAATCAGACGAGCGCCACGAAGGCCTCGGCCAATGATAATAAGCCTCGGATAAGACGTTTTAAAAGTATGTTTTACAAATGGCGTGAGCGAGAAGTCATCCAGAAGCAGCTCGTCGTTGTTTCGATCTTTCTTGGATGACTCCGTCCTCAGAAGTCTCTGACTGAAACAGAGCTACACCTGCGCGGTGTCATCCGTCTTTGTTGTCTCTTCAACTTATCTCTGAGACGTGGAGGACGGCGCTCGCACTCCCTGGGTTAACACCATGCAACAAACCGGAGCGAGTGAATTTTTTTTTTTTTTTTGGCTCCTGTTTCTCATCCGGCCGCCCGGTGGCACAGCAGAATAATTTGATCAAAGCCGCAGCAGTCACTTCCTGCCCCTGGGCAGCTCCGCCGCGGCAGCGTCCTCACCGCTAGTTCTGGTTTGACAGGCTAACGCGGACCGTGTCTCTCTGCTGCGTTTCTTTATACTCTAATAGGAATGTCCTGGAGCCACGCGGTGGAAGAACGGTTAGTGCTAATGTCTCGGAGCAAACAGATCACTGGGGTTGCCGGTTAGATGCCCAGTCTTTCAGCAGGGAGTTCTCTACATGTTCTGCCTTTTTCCTGAAAGTTGTTCTCCGCGTTGAAGCCACCGAGAAACGTTTGTTGTTGTTGTTGTTGTTGTCAACAAACGACAGCCTGTGCCAGGATTCAAACCGGCAGCCGTCAGATGTCCATATATGGACAGTTGGACCCTCTGAAGTTGGAACAGGTTCTTTGTCTCTACCCTACAGTAAAACGTACGACGACAAACAAAATATATTTGTCGTAGAGAAGCGAGTGTCGATGAGGCGCAGGTTCAGAGCAGCAGGTGTTTGTTCAAAGAGACAAAGTATTACACAGATGAAGTACTGCAGTACATGCCCTGTGTAATGAGTGACACCAGCTGCCCCTCACACTGCTCCACCAGCCTGTCTGTTAGTTCAGAATGATAAGGCCTGTTAAAGGTGAACGTGCCTTGGCTGCAGCGGACGAACAGACAGAGGTTTGGATTAGAAACTGATGCTGATGCTGATGCTGATGCTGATGATGATGATGATGATGCTGATGCTGCTGCCGCTGATGCTGCTGATGCTGCTGCTGATGCTGATGCTGCTGGTCTGGGCTCATGGTCCAGACCAGCAGTTCAAGAAGATGACCAGGGATGTCCGATATTAGCGGCTAACTGCTGATGTTAGCGACTGATGTTAGCATAATTATGTAATATCGGTAAGAATTGTCATCGGTTTTTCCTCCAATACTGAGAACCCGATAACGCAATGTCTGAGTTGGGCCTAAAAAAGAAGTTTTGAAGTGAAAGTAAAAACCCAAAGGGCTGGACATATCGGTATCAGTTGATATCGGAATCGGAAATGAGGTGTTTGGACAATTTCGGGAAAAAGTTGACGACGTCACGTCAGGCTAACATCATGAACACACGACTGATCTGTTAGTTCTGTTTTGTCCTTGTGACGTGAAGCAACAATGTGAAGCGACAATAACTGTTGATCTGATGCTAACCTGTGTGTGTGTGTGTGTGTGTGTGTGTGTGTGTGTGTGCGTGGCACAGGTTTCGACCAATGGAGAGATTTCCGTCATCTCTGGCGCCCCCACTGACTGCGACTGTAAAATAGACCCCAACTGTGACTGCTTCTCTGGTGGGTTTAACACACACACACACACACACACACACACACACACACACATTCATCAGATTAAATCCTAACTAACTCCTAACTGAGATGTAAAACTGCCCCCGGAAAATATGATGAAGTCATGACAGGAAGTAACGGTGAGAAAAAGTTGGATGTAAATCCATGTTGGTCCTTGTTTGTTATTGGTTGTTCCTGAAGTCCCACAATCCATAGCTGTGTTCTTCAAGATGGCGCTTGTCAAAAAAAAAAAAAAAAAAAAATCCATAAAAAAACCAACTGTTTTTCGGTTGTTTTCCAGTGTGGCGTTTACGTTTCATTTTTAAAATCTAAACTGATTTAAAGCTGCAGCTCGTACATGACGCGGCGGCTGCTTTTTTTTTTTCTTTTTTTTCTTTCCTAAAACAGTGAGATTTCATCACCACAGAAAGTCTTGAGATATATTTCAGAAGAAATCAAATGGAGAGAGATCTTTCAAGTCCTTTCAGATCCCAGCTGCTGCATGAAAACGCTCTTATCTGTCCGCCCGAGGTTTAATCCGGCTGCCGTATCATGGACAGGCCACCGGGGGGAGGAATGAAAAGAAGGGAAAGGGAGACAAATAAGCAGATGTTCTTTTGACAGTTGGGGCCACGCTCCTCATTGTTAGTGTGAGGAGGAGGTAATTTTATCATTTAATTCGACTCATGGAAATCTGCCTCCTTTTTTGTGTGAAGACGGAGCCGAGTGTCGGTGGCGTGGCACACGCCAATGGACTTTCACCACGCCGGGTGGGTTTTTTTTTCCCCCTCTCTCTCTCTCTCTCTCTCTCATTGTACTTTGCATATTTTCAATCATGTCGTGCTGTTAACAGATGATTACTCTCTTCAGAGGCTTTCCGTTTTCATCAACCCTCCGTAAACGCACACGCTGCCTTTAAACGTGCAAATACAAACACACACACACACAGTGAGTTACAAATAAAAAAAAAAAACAAAAAAAACAAAAGGCACAGAATTCGCCTGCTGTCAGGAAGAAGCGCCGACTTCCTGCTGTCTGCACAGAACCATCAGAGACCCGCGGGCCACTGCTGACACAATCTAAAAGGTTCCACTGGCCTGTTCTCCTGCTGCGCTACCAAAGTCACCCACCTCCCCCATCTGATAAGGCAGGGGTCACTGTCAAGGTGGTTACATCCACTCATTGGAGGGGGGATATGGGGGGAGGAGGAGGGGGAGGCAGCAGCAGCCGTATCCCAACAAGTCCTACGTCTGTGTCGAACAGATAAACGCTGCAGCTCCGCGGGGTCTCGGTTTTCCTGAAAAGTTGTTTGAACTTTTTTTCGGGGGGGTTTCCTGAAAAGTTGTTTGAACTTTTTTTCAGGGGGCGTTGCGTTTCTGATGTCTCCCTCCAGGTGTCGCCACTAACACCGTTTGGTTGATAAAGTGTCAGCCCTGGTGGAAATAATGTCTGCTTCCGTCTCCCCCAGGCGACGCAGGCTACGCCCGTGACGCCCGCCTCAAAGCCCCCTCCTCTCTGGCCGTGGCCCCCAACGGAACCCTGTACATCGCTGACGTGGGAAACATCCGGATCAGGGCTGTCAGCCTCAACCAGCCGCAGTCCGGCCCGGGTGGACTGGTGGAGATCAGCTCCCCACTGGACCAGGAGCTCTATCTGTTCAGCCAGGTACAGCCAGCCCCGAGCTTTGACTGACAGGCCTGAGGCTCCGTCAGAGTACATGCAGTATGATGTAAAGTACTGCAGTTTCACACATAGGATTTTTTTTTTTTTTTTACAGTACAGTACATACTTTAATTAACCTGATACTGCGTTACACAGACTAATCCTTAATTGATACTTGTTCTATATGAATATTAATGAGCAGTAATGAACCTGCTTTAATACTCAGCACTGAGTGAACGCCTCACGTCGACTCATTATATGAATATTTGACATTAAATAAAGAATGTGGAACGATTACCGTGTTAATTACCAGTTAATTATTATTATTAATATAAGGTTATTTGTCAGGCAGGACTGGAGAGAGTCTTTCTGCTGCAGGTAGTTTATCAAAACACAAACAACAAAAACTCACTTCTTCACAAGGAAACCAGGAACAAATGGACACATGAGTGAGGGAGAGAGGTGTATTTATACACAGGGCACCAGGTGACACCAGTGAGACCAATCACAGGAGTCACAGGTGAATGTGATGACACTGATGACCTCACGCAGCAGACGCAGCAGGAACAGGAAACAGAACAGACTTGACGGTTATTATTCACGTATCCAACCAGTCGGGGATATTTTATTATTATCTGAATGACAGCGTTCTCCTCTGAAGGTGTAAAAAAAAAAAAAAAAACATGACAACAATAAATAGCACAACCAGGAAACTGATGATGAAGTAGGTGAAGGAGCAACCAATCAGAGCGAAGGCCATAAAGTAGAACACAAGTGCTGTAAAACTGTGGAAACATTTCCTGCAGATACAAATTTATTTTTGAATTAACAGCAGCAGACGTCGATTAATCAGGAGTAAAATAAAAACTTATAAAATCTTTTTATAAAAATCTGACATCACTTCCTTCTCCTGCGACAGAACGGCTCCCACATGTTCACCAAACACCTGATCACCGGCCACTTCCTGTACAACTTCTCCTACGGCACCGACGGCCAGCTCGCCGGCCTGGTGTGTCGTAACGGCTACGGGCTGCAGGTGAGGAGAGACGCTCACGGCGTCCCGCTCTGGCTGGCGCTACCTGGTGGCCAGGTGTATTGGCTGTCGCTTAGCAACAGCGGAACACTGAGGAAGGTGTCAGCCCAAGGCCACGACATCGCCCACATCACCTACCATGGCAACACCGGTCTCCTAGCAACCAAGAGTGACGAGAACAGTTGGACCACCGTTTATGAGTAGGTTGACGGTTGTTTTGTACTTCTTCTTCTCTGGTTCTGGTTCTGGTTTATCTGTGACACGTTTTTCTGTTTCCTGTCCGTCTTTGATTTGTGCTTCTGGTTAATGGACTGCGAGTGCCTGTCTGTGTCTGTGTCTGTGTTTGTGTCCGTGCGGACTGTTGGGGTGTGACCTGTGAGTGCCATCTGGTGGTAATAATGGTCACGTCGCTCCCTCAGGAAGCTGACGAGTCTTTCATGTTAGTTTCTGCTGACTGATTTGCAAGAAGAGCCCTGGGAAACGCTTTGATCACACACACTCACACACACACACACACACACGTAGGGATGGCACAGAGAGAGAGAGAGAGAGAGACAAAAACACATCTGTCTGAATTATTCACCTCCTCCGACCAACTCCCAGTCAAATTCCACAGCTGGATAATGACTCATATAAATCACAACTGACAGTCACTACGTCCATGTCTGTACCTGAGGGACAGTGATGTGTGTGTGTGTAGGTGTGTGTGTGTTTGTGCGTCCTTTTGTCGTAGCCGATCGTCGGTCGCCCCGTTCATCATCGACTGCGTTTGTTTGTCCTCAAAGGTACAACGGCGAGGGTCGGGTGACCAACATCACGCTGCCCACTGGTGAGGTGAGCGGTTTCCATGGCAACCTGGAGCGCTGGTCCCGGGTGGAGGTGGAGGCGTCCAACCGGGAGAACTTCATCACCAGCACCAACCTGTCGGCCAGCGACACCATCTACACCTTCAGACAAGGTACGGCGCCCCCCTCTGACGACCTCAGACGACCTCAGACGACCTTTGGTGGTTTTTGCCCCTTTGCC